GTGTGTGTGTGTGTGTGTGTGTGTGTGTGTGTGTGTGTGTGTGTGCGTGTGTGTGTGTGTGTGTACGTATGTACGCACCCCTGGGGGAGTGTTTTACTTACAAAGATACAGAGGAAAAACTACAGCAACATGCTAACGATACTTTTTGGCAAAAAACTGACAGCACAAAACTACACACAAGAGGACACAATAAATTACAGCTCCCTCCCCGCCCCCCTCCCTAAATCATCATAATCTTGTCCAACCTCGACACAAAACACATTCTTGCAAAAATACACCAATACATTGGAAGCCAAACTGGGTGAAAATCATGACCATACAAACAACTGCAGTATGCAATAATGTTCAGCAAAACACGCTACATGAATAAATGTTTGTTTTTTGTAATTTTAAAAACCCTTGGATGCTTTATGAGGCACCACTTCAAGGGGGCAAAAAAAGAAGAAAAAAACCCAACCTGTAACATCACCATCTCCCCCCCCCCCCAATATTGACAAGATATTTCAAAGACAGCAAAGCCATCTTCTCTCAGTAGTGGTAAGCCCCATGTGATGTCGTCGTGAGGGTCGAACCACAGGTGATGATTATTGGGGGAACAGCTACACTGACAGAGCCCACGGCTGTATTTTTCTTCACTGGTGAACTGTAGATGGCTTTCACTACACCAACACAATACCATGGGTCAATTTTCTTCCCTCTGCTGGTCGAGGGCATGTTTCATTTTTTTAAACTGAACCATTTCATCACAAAATGTGTTCTCCCATATTTCCCTCCGTGATGGAATAAAAAGAATACAAAACATCCAGGCACAAAATACCGGTGACGTACAGAAATAGGCCAAGCCTTGGATCATCTACATGTAAACCCCTCCCCTCCCTATCAATCAATAAGACGGACAATGAGATGCACACATACATCAGAAGTGGTTTGGTTTCATTGAAGCAACGTGTATTTTTTTTCTTTTTTTGTAGAGAACACCGCAATTTCACAAAGCATACTTTTGCATTATGAACTGCCCTTCAAGAAGTGAACATAGACCAACACAAACAAACGAAAAAACTGAACAAAAAAAACAACAACCCCCAAACATATTTCTTTCATCTGGGTGTCAAAATTTTTTTAAAATGATCTAACATCACAAGACAGAAGAAAATATTCTTTCTGAACTCAAGAACAAGAAATAGATGCACTAGTAGTAGCGACAAGCCCATGTCCTATATCTGGGCCCTTAATTCTCCGCCTTTGCCTCTTCCGCTGCTGGTGCTGCATCTCCTGCTCCTCCTTCCTCTTTCTTCTCCTCCACCGCCTCAGCTGCGGGTTTCTCCTCCTCCTTCTGACTCTCCTCCGTCTTCCCCTCTCCAGCAGCTGCGGGGGCTGGCGTGTCCCCTCCATCAGCGTCCTTCTGGTCCTCTTCCTTCTTCTCTCCATCCTCGTCCTTTACCTCTCCGTTCTCTTTGGGCTTCTCCTCGCCCTCACCCTCTTTCTTCTCTGCTCCCTCTTCTTCAGCCTTGGTGGCCTCTGCACTTTCTGGTGCGGCGGCCGCCCCCTGGTTGCGGACTTTCTTGGGCTTTTTGCCGAGACCTCTCTCTATGAGGGCGTTGGCCTCATCCACCACCGTATCTTTCACGTCGCGTGGTGTAACGCCCAACACATCCTTCATCTACAAGATACAATGTGGGAAAAGG